TTACTTCTAGTGCCTGTAGGGATTGATGTGAGCTTAGAGCTTATACCAGGAAATAGCAGGAATTGAAACCTGACTTGTTATTATTGCTCTATGGAGTAATCAAATATGGACTCCTAGTCTTTCTTGTATGTATGTATACATTTATTCCGATAAATTTAATATTTCTATTTGTACCTGCTTTGGGTGATTGTGGTCACAGATGGCATACTGTCTTACCAAATTACCCAATGACTAAGACGAGGGCCTTGGTATGCATTTAACACATTTAAAGACTACTAAAAATCACAAATCACAGCCAGTTTGGACGGGTTTTTGGAACCGGCAATGGACAAGTGGTAGCAATTTACCTGTTTTTTATTTAACACTCACTGCCATTAACTTACAATGCTATAGTGATGAAAAAAATGTGTGCTTCAAAGGATGGAAACAATAACCTCAAATCTCAAGCATAGTCTCCGAAACTAGTTGTGGTAGAACCGCCTAGTTTAACCCGGATTATGCATGTCTATGAATCACTTGACACTAGACACACTTTACCTAAAGGAGAGCTGAGTCTACGGATCAAGAGAGAGAGAGAGAGAGAGAGGGGAGGGAGTAGTCCAGAGGCAGACATCTCTTGGTTTTTCGTTGGGAAGGAGAGGCCACTACAATACCACTACACTGTCGCTGCAGTAAATCTACACCACTGTAAATCCGATTTCTACTTACGGTGTCAATAAGAGAAGTGTCTGTGTAAATATATTATTTCTACTAGGAGTAGCCTTAAGAAAACAGCCAGTAAAGATGTATTTACACTAGCAGTTTTCTTAAGCTACTGTCAATACTAATAATTTGAAATCAAATTTTGAACTTTTCAAATAATCTCGGATGGATAAATGATCTGAATAAAAGTTGTGCTACTTGAAAACATCTAAAACTTTTTAGTTGAATACGTTTTCATTTAAAATCATGTAGCACCCAGAAATTATGTTTGATAAGATTAATTATTTTTGACATTCATATTTTTTTTTTTAAAGTTCAAATCAGTTCGGATGATCGAAAAGTGACCAAAAACAAAGCAGTAGATCTTGATGAGATCTAAAACTTTCTAGTTGAAACTTTCTGGTAAAGTGAATACGTGGGGAACATTTATGCCTTTTTGTCACAAGAGGCTATAAGGTGCAGTGCCTAGGGGAGGAGGCATAAGGTCGCACGTTTGATTTCTGGCAACCACACGTCTGGAAAACCGCGTGAGTTGGTTTTTAAGTGGTGTTCGCTGATTTTCACTGGCCTTTTACACTTACGGTTAATAAAAACGCCAGTACATAGCAGTTTTTCACCGCCAGTCCAAACATTTTCTGTACTAGTGGAAGTATTTTACATGGTTGTAATAATTGGTCTCATTCTCTCTAAACTTTGTTTCCGTTATCTATGAAAAAGGTTACAATCATAGAGAGATACTGATATAGCTTATTAATTTTTGTGTCTCATATTCGAGCGTCAGGGTGCCACGTTGGCGAGCAGCTCGCTGAGAAGGGAGGGGCACCTGGTTGTCAGACGCTGAAACTCGTCACTATCAATGATCGCCTTTAGATTGCCGGGAGGCTTGACAAACTTGAAGCACGCCTCTTTCAGCTCTCTGAAGCCATACTGCTCCGCAAGCTCCAGTGTAGTCGCTGCCATGCCAGTGTTAATGTAGTCACAAAATCCTCACAGATGAGCTTCAGCCTCTCCATGCCATACTTATCAGCCGCCACAACCAGATGCTGAGCCACCACCGGCTCGTCGCCGCTGCTGTCCATGTCCAGCAGCGAGTCCGTGTAGACAATGTGCAGCTTTGCCCTGAACACTCTCAGCTCGATGTCATCGATCCCTACGTGACTCGTGGTCTTCGCCTCCATCTGGCCGAAGAGCTGCGCCATGAACACCGGTGACCAAGCGGTGAGCATGAGTCGGTGCGCGGCGAATTGTCTCCTTGCTGACCAGGAACATCATGTCCGTTCCAACCTGGGACTCGAGGAGGCCGCCAATATGGTGGTGCAAGTCTGATGGTGGAACAGTGTCAAATAGAGATGGGCAGGTACCTAGTAAATGATAAATAGAGATGGGCATTTACCTAGAGTCTGTCTTGACATTTTTAAAGGCGGTGCCAAAAAAATGTCCACCTCTGCTAATCATAGGGCGTAACTCCTAAAATGTTTTGTATGCAGTGGTCGTTGAATGGGGACGGGGTTGTGGTGGTCAATGAGGCCGTGTTGGATGGGGCTGGTTTGAAGGGAAATGTTGGACTAAGTAGATGAGCGTGCATTGAATAGGAGGGAGGCAGGATGGATTAGGTTTACGGTTTATAAACAGTTGTGGGTACCTTTTTTCCATTTGCGTAAAATTTGACTCAACAAGATAATTGTTTTTCCCTGTGCGTAACAATCATACTGATAGGGCAATTACTCTTTTACATGGAATTCTTGTAGAATCAACGGGGCAAACAAATTTCCCTCTGTTTATTCACGAACAAGGAAAAAAATGAATCCTGTGCGTTTTTCATTGCCCTGTCATGATTATATAATCCAACATGTTAATCATGAATTTTTGTATCAATATAGCTAAAAAACAACACAAAAGTTTGTCACCCATGGGGAAATTCGCGTTTCATAGATGTAATTTGTCACCCACAGTGATAGTAGTTCACAATAGGGAAAATACTTTTATTTTGTTTTATCAAAGTAATGGGCACACAAATTCAACACCGCCATTTATATTACCCAAAAACACACAACCACACATTAAATTCTTTATGGTGGTACATATATGGTTGCCACTATATGCTCTTGCTCATGCACCCCTAGACTCTGGTGCCGGCACAGGCGACCCTCTCTGGCCACCATTCAGTTTACCATCCGAAGAGCAGTCAGTCTGAATGCAATAGCAGATGTCTTTGGTGTCGCAGATTCCACCCGAGTAGCCCTCAAGTAGGCACCGACCTTTGCAATCCTGGCGATCGCCGCCGAAGCATGAGCCAATCCGACTGCGCACAAACGGGTTGCACGGCGTCCATTTTACACCCTGTACGTCTGCTCAATCAAAAAGAGATTTGTTTTTAGCTGACATCACAAGCTGGAGGTAGAAGAAGACGACTAGAGGTGGAGTTGTTTGTTACCTGATGGTAAAACGAGCGACAGTACTAGGACACATGTAGCTGCAGCAGTGATCTTGTTGCAAGCCATGGTTGCAATGTTAGTCTGTAGCTCTCGTTCAGTTGATCTTTTTTTTCTGATATTCAATCAGTTGAAATGGGAGAGCTATAGCTACCTTGGATGGTAGGCCGGGGATGCATATATTTATACAGGATCATGGCATCCGAAATGCATTGTTTCCGTTTTGATAGAGAGTCCCGATTCATTTGCTGCCTTGAACGCAGGGTGTACTGTTATTAAAACTTTTCATTTAAAAGAAGATTTATTTGTACTGACAGTTACAAGGAGTTATTACAACTAATGTAAGAGCAGCGGAACAAGGAGGATTTTAATTTGCAGCTTGATAGTCCTGGCTGTGTTACTTCCAGTGCCTGTAGCCTGTAGGGCTGGTGTTGATGTGAGCTTAGAGATTACCAGGAAATAGCAGGAATTGAAACCTGACTTGTTATTATTGCTCTATGGAGTAATCAAATATGGACTCCTGCTAGTCTTTCTTGTATATATGTTTACATTTATTCTGATAAATTTAATATTTCTATTTGCACTTGCTTAGGGTGATTGTAGTCACAGATGGCATACTGTCTTACCAAAATACCGAATGACTAAGATGAGAGGCTTGGTATGCATTAAACACATTTTAAGACTACTAAAAATTACAAATCACAGCAGATTGGACTGGTTTTTGGAACGGGCAATGGACAAGTGGCAGCATTGTACCTATTTTTTATTTAACACTCAATACCATTAACTGACAATGATATAGTGACGAAAAAAATGTATGCTTCAAAGGATGGAAACAATGACCTCAAATCTCAAGTATTGTGTCGGAAATTAGTTCTGGTAGAACCACCTAGTTTAACCCTGCGAACCACTTGACACTAGAAATGCTTAACCCATGGGAGAGCTGAGTCTACGGATCGATCAAGAGAGAGAGAGAGAGAGAGAGAGAGAGAGAGAAAGAGTAGTCCAGAGGCAGGCATCTCTTGGTTTTTTGTTGGGAAGGAGAGACCACTACAATACCACTACACCGTCCCTGCATTAAAACTACACTTGCGGTTCTCTTAACTATCACCGCCAGTAGGTTAAGAAGCACCTGTGTTAATATATTGTTTCTACTAGCAGTAGCCTTAAGAAAACCGCCAGTAAAGATTTATTCATACCGGCAGTTTTCTTAACCTACTGGCAATATAAATAATTTGTAATCAATTTTTGAGCTTTTCAAATAATCTTGGATGGATAAATGATCTGAATAAAAGTTGTGCTTCTTGAAAAGATCTTAAACTTTTTAGTTGACTACTTTTTATTTAAAAATAGTATAGCACCCGAGATTATGTTTTATAAGATTAATTATTTTGAAATTCGTATTTTAAAAAAAATTCAAATCACTTCGGATGATGGAAAAACGACCAAAGACAAAGTAGTTGATCTTAATGAGATCCAAAACTTTTTAGTTAAAAGTTTCTGATAGAGTGGATACGTGGGCAACGTTTATGCCTTTTTTGTCCCAAAAGGCTATCAAGTGCGGTGTTTTGGGTAGTAACAGGGGAGGCACAAGGTCACATGTTTGATTTCTGGCAACCACAAGCGTGGAAAACAGCGTGAGTCGGTTTTTAAGTGGTGCCCGCTAATTTTCACGGGCCTTTTACATTTAGGGTTAATAAAAACCGCTAGTCAAAAACATTTTCTGTACTAGTGGAGGTATTTTACAAGATTGTAATAATTGGTCTCATTATCTCTAAACTTTGTTCCCATTATCTAAGAAAAAGTTTACATGCATAGAGAGTATACTTATATAGCATATTAATTTTTGTGTCTCTGATTCGAGCGTCAGGGTGCCACGTTTGCCAGCAGCTCGCTAAGAAGGGAAGGGCACCTGGTTGTCATACGCTGAAACTCGTCACTATCCATGATCGCCTTTAGATTGCCGGGAGTCTTGAGAAGCTTGAAGCACGCCTCTTTCCGCCCTCTGAAGCCATACTGCTCCGCAAGGTCCAGTGTAGTCGCCGCCGTGCCGGTGTTAATGTTGTCGCAAAGACGGTCCTCGCAGATGAGCCTCAGCCTCTCCATGCCGTACTTATCCGCCGCCACAATCAGATGCTGAGCTACGGCCGGCTCGTCGCTGCTGTCCATCTCCGGTAGCGAATCCGTGTAGACAAAGTGCAGCATGGCCCTGGACACTCTCGGGTCGACGTCATCGATGCGTACGTGGCTCGTGGTCGTCTCCTTCATCTGGCCAAAGAGCTGCGCCATGAACACCGGCGACCGAGCGGCGAGCACGGGCCAGTGCGCGGCGAAGGTCTCCTCACCGACCTGGAACGTGACGTCCGTCGTTCCCACGTGGGACTCGAGGAGGCGGCCCATATGCTGGTGCATGCCTGATGGTGGCACGGCGCCTTCCCTCTCCACGCAGGACTGATGGCCCAGATCGCGCATCCAAATCACCACAGCCCCTCGACCTTTGGATCATCACCGTGTGGTGTGGCGGGTCATGGAGCACCGGGCATCGCGCCTGTTAACTTCACCTGCTGGCACGTCAACCAATGATTGTAAAAAGACTACACCACGGGTCAGCCGGAAGGGCACATGGAGAAACCGCCCCGCCTGCTGACAAGCAGGCCCCACGGTGGCCTCACGAGGTACACCAGCCTCTTCGCTGGTAATTCCGGAGCCTGACCAATGCGCGCCCCGTGATCGCTCCCTGAGAGCAACAAAGATAGGAGCAGACGGCACTGAGTGGTGCACCCAACGAGTGCAACCCGAGCCTAGGGCACAGAACGCACCCGGCCATCGTAAAGTGCAGTCCGGGACAAGGTGGCCTGTCATCAAGCCCTCACACGGGCGTGGGAGATCAAGCGCTGGATTGGCGCTAAGCCAGCGCCCCGACGCCATGCCGCTTGACCCACACGAGGCCAAGATAAGTAGGGTGCCCCACGCGGGCCTAGAGCTGGCGACTCCCCGACGGGCCAGCTAGACCCTCGCTCAGGCCTCCTCATATGATGCTCGATCCCAGCATCGCTCAGCTTAGAAGCCGCGCGCAGACATAAAGGCTCGGGGACCGCTAGAAGGACGTCTGACCCAAGACCACCAGGACTCTGTGCACACCAATTGACTAACCCAGTCATCAATGATCGGGCTCAACCCCTCGCCATCACGGTGCAAGCCCCTGTCGGCCACTCCTTCAACAGGGTCACGGAACCGGCGTGACACAACATGACACGGGACTTCAACTACTCTAGGGCAAAGGCTCTAGGGCCCACTCGTCAGCCCCTCCAAGTGGGGGCTCCTTGGCAACAGAGGAAGCCTCGAGATGGTTCACCAGGGGAGGCCGCTCTGCCACAAACAGCCTATGACGGGTAAGTGCCAGAACAATGGCAGCGACATCCGGAGACGGTTGTGGCTCTGTCGAGTCCTCCCTACACGACAAGGCGAGTTCCTTGAAGGCCGCGGCAGAGGACTCATGCATCCTGGTGCATAGACCATAGACTATAACCCAAACCGACCTATACACCGGCCCTCTATAGAATATAAGGGGAGGGACGACTTGTGTAGAAGGGGGGCGATTTCCAAGAGAAATATAGAACCTCAGCTAGAAAAGACCGATGCCTAACTCACTGAGGAAGAAAACTGATGAACACTAGGACAGCACCGAGCGATCCCCTACCAAGCTCTCTCGATTTCCACCATTGTAACCCCTGATTGGGCATTCCTTAATGCAAAGATCACTATACTACTGGACGTAGGGCTAAAAATCCCGAACTAGGATTTTGACCTTTTCATGTTTTGAGTGTCCGAGCCAACAGAGACCCAAACATCGACTTCCGACGAACAACCACGATGCTCGCCACAGTTACAACAAACGTGCGACAGTGTCGCACAGGAAAGGAAAAGCAAAGGTTGGACAAGATGGGACAACTTTCAATAAATTCAGGAGTAAATGGCTATTAATTCATCATTCGTTGCTGTGTTACCAGCTAGGGACGGGTGGGGAGTATTGGGGCACTTTGGACATTCCGCGCGCACAATCAAGCTACTCTACTGAAGCCGTAGGGGGCTCTGTCTCTTGGGACCAAGATTGTCCATCCTCCTCACAGCGGCGGAGCCAGCCCCACGAGGGTTCCTTCCTGTCCGAACAGCCTTGCGACGCCGCTCGATCTGCAAAGACACAGGATCAATGTTACCTCTGCTGACTATTGTTGGGGACACCGTTCAGGGGTGAAAAAGATGAGGCGCCCTTCGCTGGGGTGCCGCTGTTGAAGGTGACGAGGGTCCCGCCATGGATAGCCCTTGAGCTGCGGCGGACATAGGCACGCTGGCTGCACCCTTGGGTGTGAGGAAAAGAGCCGTCAAGGGTTCAGCTATGAGACGAGACTAGGACGGGGTGGCGCATCGAAGGTGCACCCCCCCCACACACACACACACACACCAACACTTGATGAAATCTAAAACTTTCTAGTTGAAAATTTATGGTGGTACAGGGAATATGAAGAAACTGTTTATACCATCTAGTCACAAGAGATTATGAGGTGCACACGCGAGGCCTGAGGTCGCTGGTTTGATTTCTGGCCATCACACGTGCGAATAATGGTGTGACTCAGTTATTAATTAATCTCATTCTCTCTAAGCTTTGTTTCCATATCTAAGAAAAAGGATACATGCATAGAGATTAGTGATAGCTTAATAATTTTTCTGTCTCAGATTGGAGCGTCAGGGTGCAACGTTGGCGAGCAGCTCGCTGAGAAGGGAGGGGCAACTGTTCGTCAGATGCTGAAACTCATCACAATCCATGGTCGCCTTTAGATTGCCCGGAGACTTGAGAAACTCGAAGCACGCCTCCTTGAGCCCTCTGGAGCCATGCAGCTCCGCAAGCACCAAAGTAGTTGCAGCCGTGCCAGTGTTAATGTTGTCGCAAAGCCTGTCCTCGCAGGTGAGCTTCAGCCTCTCCATGTCGTATCTATCCGCTGCAACAAGCAAATGCTGAGCCATGGCCCGCGCGTCGTCGCCGCTGTCCATGTCAGGCAGCGAGTCTGTGTAGATGAAGTGCAGCATGGCCCTGAACACTCTTGGGTCCATGTCATCAATCCGTACGTGGCCCGTGCTCCTTTCCTTCATTGGGCCAAACAGCTGCGCCATGAACACCGGCGACCGAGCAGCGAGCACGAGCCGGTGCGCGGCGAAGGTCTCCTCGCCGACCTGGAACGTGACGTCCGTTCCCACCTGGGACTCGAGGAGGCGGCCAATGTGCTTGTGCATGTCTGGTGGCGGCACGGCAACGGACCGCGGGATGCGGACTGCTGTCGTGGAGACGGTGACGTCGCATCTGACGCTGAAACAGTCGTCCTTGAGATAGGCTGATCCCTCCAGGGCCTTCCGCATGATGAACCTTCGGCACCCAAATCCGGTGTCTGCGCACTTGAAAGTGCGTGCCGTGCCCTTGCCAGAGGAATACGACGGGACTGGCTCGCCGGCGCCGTCGAGCAAGCTGAACGCGTAGCTTGCCTCGACGCCCGTGGCATGGTTGTGCTTGAGGTGCAGGACGATGCCTATCCATCCAGAGGTCTTTGGGGTGCATCCATTAGGGTAGTACCTGATGTCCCAAGTAATCCCGCCGACGACGAACTCACCAGAGCTGATGAATTTGCCGCTGCCGGCCGATGCCTTGACCCGGGAGTACCCATCAATCTTGAGGACGTGCGACCCCTTCACGGTCTGGGCGACGATGGCGGACACGCTGATGCTGTCGCTCTGCGCCACGCCGCCGCCGCCAAAAACAGATCTCTCCATGTGTATGTAATGAGTTGCGGGTTGCTGGACAGAATGGGAAATTGAGGGATATGAAGATGAAAGCTATAGGCTAGCTTTGGCGACTCGAGATGGCCGAGTATGCAAATCGATCGGCGGCGCTCGGCGGCCACCGTGAGACGTGGACAGAGGCGGTGGACGAAAGACGGCAAGGTTTGGTTTATATGTGACCCTGCCAGCCAGGAGAGGAGTACCGGAAATTGAGTAGTAGTTGTCTATTAATTTTGGCCCAAGTTGCTAGTTCGGTCTAAAGGGCCCAAGCCCAGTAGTTTATTTGAGTTTTCTTCACCTTTGCAATTTCTCCCGTGTTCTTTTTAAATAATGGAAAGTATCCGGCTTCATCTCTTGAAGCCAAGTGAATCGGATTAATTTTCACGTAAGTTGAAAACACACAAAAACAAACCGACTCAAAAACCAATCCTAGCATTATCTCGCCATCTAAAAGAAGCAAAGAACTGCATGGTCGCGGTTTGTAGCGCCCGACAAACTTGGCAGAAGTGATCCTTGATTTCATCACACCTTTGCAACCATGATCAATGTCGTAGTTAGTGCATTCCTTTGAATAAAACCTACAAAAGAGATTAGGGTTGGTATTTCTCAAAAACCATGTCAATTTTTACTAGCCATATGGTCCAACAAATGGCTGCTCCACCTGATGATACTCGATAGCAATGTTTTATTTGATCTACACCTTTGTTTGTGCCAATCATGAAAGATATCCATTACATTCAAAGTGGTTTTGAGACCCAAAACAAGATGTATCGCCCACCACAAGAACTTAGCATACAAACACTCCAAGATTTGTCGCCACTCAAATTTCTTTTTGATAAATTATCTTTAGTTAAAACTATCCTTCTCTTAATAAACAACTGAAAATTTTTAGTTTTGAAGCCCCGTATTGACATATGGTATTTATACATGGATATGAACCTACCATTACACTAAGGAGCCAAAAGAATCTATCTCATCCAACTTGTAAGTTAATATTCATGACTCTTGCTACTAAGTAATTCCACTCAACCCCCTTAATTCCCACTCAATTTGTCATGTGTTATATGTTTTATTTATCTATTTTGTAAAATATACTCACTCCGTTCCAAATTATAAGATGTTTTGGCATTTAGATTTTACTATGTACTTAAATATACCCTATGTCTAGATACATAGTAAAAGCAATTTATCTAAAAAGCCAAAATGTCTTTAATTTAAAATATACCCTTTGTGTAGTTATAATAAATTCATTTATTTCATGACTTTTCAAAAATGTTATCAGAATTTTTATATTTTAGTTGTTCCCCGTATACAAACTATTCTTCTACCGTACTTTATTGTTCACCTATGTATATTACTATGTTCAATGGCCTGTATATATAATCAATTTATGCCAAAATTTTCTTCTCTACCTTAATAAAAACTTCTTTTCAATCTCGGATATTTTTCCAGAATCGAGAAAATTTTCCCCTTAGAAAGTTTTTCTTGTGTGGCAGAACCATTTTGTACTTACAAATGCCTTTTAGTAAAGAAAATGATACACTTTCAAGAGAAAATATTGAGAAGTAAGCATTTAACTGGTTAAGTTCCTTGTGGTGGAACATGTGTTCACCTGGGTTTAAGTTCTCAGTTTGACGTGGGTACTCCCATTTTCATTGATTTTTTTCAATATTTAATGGCACTTTTCTTTCAACGGTGAAGGGAATACTTTTATCCCACCTCTGAAAAAAAAAAGGAATTGTCTGCACAAAAATCATTTTTGAAGTAGTGGAAACAGACAGTAGGGCACTTAATATGCATCCCACATCTCGTCATGGTCTGTCAACCCCATTGGAATTTATAAATCATTTTAGGAAATACTGCTTAAATTTGTAAAAATCTATGTCATGTAATGGAATTGACGTGTTCATATTCTTGCTAAATTTGCCCATGATAGTCCATGCATCTAGACATAGAAAATAAATATGCAATTATTACCATATGCCATTGTCATCTTTCCTGAGGACCATCACTAACTTGTTAAAACTCTTTGGCTAGGCTTCTTTGGTGCTCCCGCTTCTCCGCTACAATAGTGTTACAGATGAAGAGGAAAGAGAGGCGGTGGTGGTTGACTTGATGGGATGGTCGGTTATCTAAGATAATAGGTTTTCATGTTATTACGTTAGGATATTTAAAAAATTCTAAATTCCATAGGATATTTAAAAATTCTTAATCAGAATTGCCAACGAACAGGGCATCACACGAGATGTGGCAGAAACAGACTTGATGATGTTGAAAATGGCTTTGGAGGGCTACTGTTTTAGACATGCCCCCAAATTTGGAGTTATACATGAGTTAAAGACCATAATAGCTAGTTCTTTTACCACTTTCCATGTTAAGTATTGTTCCCGTGTCTGTAACAAAGTCGCCCATACATAATACCGTGGCTCCGTTGTGGTAAGTGTTCTCAATCTTTGAGCCCGGATTGGGATAGAACACATGAGGGTGTGGAGAGCCTCCTGTGCAAAGATGTTTCTCGGTCCATGATTCAATGGAATGTCATATTCCTCTCAATATATATATATATATATATATTAATACTTAGGATTCAATTGAAATATAAGGAATAACCGAATTAAGTTCCAATAATTGATATGCGTATTACATCTAATGGCATTAACAGAATTGTGAAGACATAACATTTCACTTGGTACTAGGAGTAATAGTAGATAAGTAACATGCATAGAGAATAAGCATATGTTATTATGCAAATAAGAGTAGTGCACTACCGGATTCAGCTTCTTTGCCGAGTGCCTTAGGCACTCGGCAAAGGCCGATATACACTCGGCAAAGCCTTTGCCGAGTGTTACACTCGACAAAGGACACTCGGTAAATAGTTTATTGGCAAAGACCTCTTTGTCGAGTGCACTTTATCGGGCACTCGGCAAAGCCTTTGCCGAGTGCTAATCTGACACTCGGCAAAGAAAAGTTGCCGTGATGGCGAGTGCCACCATGACGGCGGCTTTGCTGAGTGTCAAGGTCAAGCACTCGGCAAAGGTTGCCTCTTTGCCGAGCGCCGTTGACTCAGACACTCGGCAAAGGTGGCCACTGTGCCGAGTGCCACCGTCAAGACACTCGGCAAACAGGCGACCTTTGCCGAGTGCTTGGCCCGTGGCACTCGGCAAATCTGTGATGTTTGCCGAGTGCAATGGCCTGTGCACTCGGCGAAGCATGTTCCCAGGTATGTTCTTAGGTCGTCACTTTGCCGAGTGTCATGGCCATTGCACTCGGCAAAGTGACTGAAAACAGCCTTTTTTATTTGTTTTTTACATTCCATCCAAACAAATAGAAGATATATATAACAAACATCACCAACATCACATATATATCATCAACAGCACATATATATCACCAACACCACATATATATCACAAACGTCACATGTCTCACAATATATCACAAATAAGTTCACAAGTAATCCAAGTGCTCCATCATCTACAACCACAATTGCAAATACAAGTACCATTAACAACCATAAGTGTCATTACCTAGCTTCCTCATCCCACCGCCCACCTTCTTTGTTCAATCACCTGCAATTAAAAAGGGTAAACCAATATGCACAGATAAACAAGAAGTACTTAGAAAGAGATGCAAAATAAACAAAACGTAATTACAAAATAACATAGTATTACATGTATTAGAAATAATCTTCATGATCGGGATTAGCTGGATCATAAGTCTCATCATCACTATCAATCATGTCGAAATAATCAACACTATCCGAATGAGCAATGTTGCCATTGTCATTGTCTAAATGTAATCGCTCAAGCATTTATAAGTCCTTCACATTTTGCACCTCATCTCCAGCGTCTTCTTCAATAACAATTTCATTGTCTACTTCCATTCCGATCGCTTCGGTTAAGTCTATCTCAAACCTCCCTTCTAGTCCCTCTTCTTGAAAGAACTCTCTGTCATATGTGTTTGGGTCTAAGTTGTAATCTTCATCATTTGGGACAGGCACTTTACCGTGTGGCGATACCCTGTGCACAATATCCTAACCCTTATGATGACTTTTGGTTTGACACGCATATGGGAGATAATAAACTTGCGTGGCCTGTTGGGCCACAATATAGACATCGTCTCCTAGTAAGACGGAATCCTGTCAAATTTCGACTAGCCCAAGATTAGAATATGTCCATCTCGTTACTTTAGGATCAAACCAATGGCATTTGAATATGACGGGATTAAAAGGTTTGGAACCATGAAACTTGAGTTCATATATTTCTTCAATTCTTCCATAATACTCGACCTCATCAACACTGGGCGTAAAAACTCCAGAACTTGTCGTTCTTCGATTGGGCCGACTCTGCTCGTAGCTTGTTGTGCGAAAGCGATATCCATTCATGTCATAACCGGAAAATGACCTGACCCTATAGGCAAAGCCATCGGCAACCTGTCTCAACTCGGCACGCATAGACGCATCCCTCTGCCCCTGCAAGCTCAAGTAGGATACATCGTTATATTATCCGCACGTATGAGTATGGAATGTTAAACTAAGTACGAGCTAAATTGGACGGTACCTTCCGTTTGAACCAAGAAATGAAATCGGGCATTCCATTTCCCGCACCCTGCCTAAGAAGGGTATCTACCTGCTACGGGGTAGGATCCTTTGATTGACGCCAGAATTCATGAAGAAATTCCCTGTACCAACGAGAAACAAGGGGGTTGGATGCAGAATATTGATGGCGTATTTAACAAGTTCGTTGAGAACTTACTGTATGTACGGCGCCACATCATCAAGGTTGGTCAACACGTATAGCATGATATGGCACCACTCTTCATGATTCAAGGTCTTGGGGGTCGATGCACTTGCGCTTCTGAGTTGCCCTCGGAAAAGGCTGAGGTTCGATTCATTTTCGCCCACATTGTAACTAGGGGGTGGATTATGCACGCTAGGGAGGTTGTCACCATAGTATGTTGTTGTGAAGTTCGCCACCTCCTCTAGAATGTAT